TCCACGTCGGCCGCTTAAAACACATGACCACCACCCTTGCAGCACTCCTCAGCCAAAAGCTGTGAAAATGAAGACGTTTCTTCTAATTTCACACTCTGCGCTTGATCGTTAGGCTCTTATTATGCCCCATTTGCTTCCCTCCACTGGCCCTGATGAAAGCGGGCCAAAGGGGCTGTGACAGGACAAAAAGGGGCCCCTCCATCACATTTTGTTTGGGGTCCTTTTTTTTTTTTTTTAAACCCAACCCTTGCACCTCCCGCATGACCGCCACCGCTTCTGCCCAGTAGCCCCCACCCGTCTCCGTATTAGTTTGTGTCTAACTACGAACGTCCTGTGAGCTGCAGATGGTCCGCTCTTGTTTAATTGGCCCTGGGCTTCCCCGCTGCTCGTCAGCAAGTGGGAAGGTCAATGGCTGCTTCTGACCTGCGATGTTTGTGTGCTTGGAAAAAAAAAAAAAGCCAAAAGATGCCAGTCGTTCTCCATTCACCAACTCACCAAACTTTGTAGCCGTGTGTTTGATGAAGTTATTAAAATAAAAAATCTGCCCCCAAAGCCAGATTCAGTTTGCAACATGGTATTTGGTGGACACGTCTATCATGAGTAAACCCACAAGAACATCTCAAGAATCAATATCCGAAAAACAATAAAGTCTGCCATTTTGGTATGAAACAACCATTTAAAAGCCATGTTGGCACATTTCCAAGGGTCCTGAGTTATCCAATAGAGTTATCTATCTCTCGAATTCTTTTTTTTTTTGCTTACTGTAGTCAAAAGAAAGAAATGCAGATTGTGGTTCTCCATGTCATTCGTTCACAGGTTGTTAATCATGGAAAACCGTGCACTCCAAAACCATATTATCATTTTTATGTCTTATTATGATTGGCAACTTGCAACGTGTATCCATCTGTTTTCTCTTTCACTCATTGGGGTCACGGGCGAGCTGGTGCCTATCCCAATTTCCAGCTGACTTTGTGGGAAAGGTGCACTCACCCTGTACTTGTTGTCAGAAAGTCACACAGGGCGCATTTGGAGTCCAACAACCATTCACACTCCACATGAACCAAATCTACATGCTTAACAAGTCAACCACCAGTCTTCTACGTTGACCTTATATCTAAGTCCCTATATAAAAAAAATTGCTAACTAGAATTGTTCAAATGATCGTTTTTCTCTGCTTGAAGGCTCATGTGCGGAGACAGTACTTGCAGGGACCATGCCGGCCACCCAAGTTAGCAACAATGTTCACTGTCAGACAAAGGATTGAAAGTTTTCAGATCTCACTAAACAAGTTTGTCCGTGTCAGTATTTGTGTTAACCCTGGCCGCATGTGTCCCTTTCTTTTGTTTAGTTTTCGCCCTGGAAATGGTCCGAGCCAAGCCAAGCATCACACTCTACGGTGATTAATTAGGACATGGGAATAAAGAATTTGAGCCGTTCTAATTAGACGGAGAGTGTTTGATGGAATGCCAGTTTTTGTAACGAGAGGGGCTGACTTTCCCCTCCCCGGCCGCCGTCAAAATGTGTCAGAGTCCTTGCTAAGTGGGCTCTAATTTGAGAGATTATATCAGCTGTGAAGTGGAGCGGCTGCAGTTGATGCAAAACGTCTCTCTGGGGTTTAGAAACACTTTTTTTTCACCCCTCGCTTTTCGTCTTCCTTAGGCTGAGATATTGAGGTCAAGGTTGCGACCTTTTTGGTGGTGCCAGTGCATGGTGTTTAAAGTTGATGCCCTTGATCCTTGGCCATGGGGGTCTGAAGACATCTGTTGCCTGTACATAGAAGAAAAAGAGAGAGAGAGAGAGAGGGAGAGAGCGAGAGAGAGAGAGAGGTCTCAGTTTAGTGTGTAAAATGTAGACCAGACTCCATGTGAATTCGATAAGTCTTCATGTGGTGGCCCATCGGAATATTCTATCCATTGCTTTGGATGTGATTGATGTTTCCCGGGATTTGCCTGAAGCGAAAAGAAGCTTTTCACCGTGCCAGTAAGCCATGACAGTATGTGCTCCATTTAGATACAAAAGACGCAAAAATGTCGGATACAGTGTCGCCCAGAGCGAGCCGAGTGTCACATCAGGTTAGAAACATGGACTCAAACGTCTATAAATATATATACAGTGTATTTTTTAATGCCATCATTCTAATTTGCAGAATTGATGAGACACTAAATTATAAATAAATATGATGTGTATTATTAAAGTTGATTGTGGGCACATGTGACCCACTTCCCCCACCCGACTGTGATGTAAAGCACTGTGACTTCAAGTTCAACATCTCCAGAAGGAATTACAGTATGTAAATAGTTTCTCCAATTCAAGCAAAACCATTTGTAAACATTAATACTGGCTGACGATGGGAAGCATTACAATCTGCACATCATCACTAGAAAAAAAAAAAAATCCTGTTAATGTTTGCTACAGCACTCAATATCAGCGGTCATGTTACCAGGTCAACATTCCAAAATTGTCAATAACTAAAATAAGTTGAAAATATAAAGTCTTTTTTTCCCTTCGTTATTAACCCTCCTATTTTGTTTTCTCAGGAACAGCAATGATATTACTGGGTCAGTTTGACCCTACGGTAGGTTTAATTATCCTCAACTCTCAGGAATGAAACAAGGCCCAATGAGCATAGTTTTTTTTTTTTTTAATCTCATCATTTTTTCTTTTTTGATTTCTCATAAAGAGTAATAGTTTTTAATGGGTCAATCTATCTATCTATATATATTTCAATATATTTATCTTATTGGTTAGTTTGACAGGAAGAGCAATCATGTTCTTGAGTGAATTTGACCCGAATCATGTTTGATTTTCCAAAACTTTATAAACACTGTTTATTTCTCCTTTTTAACCCTCCTTTAAACATTTGGTTCTCAAACACAGCAATAATGATCCGGTCTCATTTTGACCCGGGGGATTATCCAATGGTATTACAAACTAAAATATTCCACTAAATATTGTTTGTATCTTGTTATCAACTCCATTAGTCACAAGTTCAAACAATACTTTGGCGCACATCATGTCTGAGTCAGTTTCTCTTCTTTTTGTAAAAAATGCTTTAAAAATTAGAAAACAAAAAACAATTGCAATAATGATGTGATTCGACCCACTCTTTATTGCATTCCCTCTCACAGTCATGAAATAAACCATGGTTATAAATATCTCTTACATTTATTAAACTAAGCAGAAGAGTTCATACAGCCCCCAAAATCGACGTATAAAATGGCTCAATTTGACCTGCAGAATAACAGAAGGGTTGAAGTCACGCTGCAGTTTCAGCTTTGGTTGAAAAAAGAGCCTTGATGGAACGATAATTATGAAACTCCATCTGACAACTTTACCGTCCAATGCAACAAATCACAGTCCTTCCGAACAAGGGCGAAAATGATTCACGCTGTTAATTCCGACTGGCATAAAAGATGAAGCGGGAGGTTGCATTTCATCTTGAAGTATGTTATCAGCCTCATAATCCACTCAACACATTCCCGACAATGTTTGTGCACGGTTGAGACATGGAGCGGGACATCAGTGCAGATTTACTTGGGTAAAAAATTAACACCAAATGGAAATAAGAATGAATTGGCCATCTGTCATGCATTGTTTTTTGTTTTCTTCTGCTCTGTTTTTTTCTTAAAATAGAATCGAATATATTTTGTTGTCACTGCATTACACTTAATTGTACTATGTAACACAATGCAGCGAGTGGTGAGCTGACTTTCTTTTGAGTATGTGAAACTAAAAATATCATAAAACTGACAAACCAACGCAAAAATACCACAACGTACGCATCGAAAATGCAATCAATGTAGACACAGATTAGAAGGTGCATTATCACAATCCTTTAATTTACATTGTTTAACATATTCGTGCTAATCGGGGCAGCACCGTATAATTCTTGATAGCACGTCTGCCTCACAGTCAAGAAGTTCAGGGTTGGAATCTTGACTCTGGCTTTCCCTGTGGTGTTTGTGTCCGACCAATGACAGATAGTGTGAACAGTAATACGCTTCCCGGATGGCCAAGAAGCTCCATTATTTGCAGCCATTGCGCAATGGCAGAGGCCCTCACGCTACTCTTTTTGTTTTTCTTGTGTATATATATTCAGTGTTGAAAATGACCTTATCAGCTTGATCACATTAATGGGTGCGAGGTTCAAAGCCAACAGGACCTCCGGGCTCAGAAAGCACATGCTGGGAAAAAAGCTGGTTCTCATTTGCTTCCTCTTTGCGTCGACTTTCTGTAAATGTAGAGATGTGATGTTTCTTTGCACCGTGTAATCATTTTAATCACAACGTTGCCTTAAGCTGATTACGTGCTGATAATTACATTTTTCAAAGTATACGCCGCAACAAACACATAATTGGTAGAAAACAGACATGGGCTGAGTTTTTTTTTGTTGACTATTTGTTCATAATGAGAACCATGTCGACCTTACAGTGGGATTGCACGTGTAGTGTTTGTAGTGTTTGTGTACAGTGGGGTGGGGGTTGTAATTATTTGATGCCCTGCTGAATTTGTTTGTACCCTCATTGTGAGCTAAAGCATTGTGATAATGAACAGTTTCCCCCCCAAAAAAATAATAATTTTATATATATTTAATATTTATACTATGTGTGTGTGTGTGTGTGTGTGTGTGTGTGTGTGTGTGTGTGTGTGTGTGTGTTTACTGATGGTCTTTTCCCATAATGTATAAAAAAGATGTTAAAAGCTGTTGATTGACAAAGAACGTTGATGGACACTTGCGGCTATGTGGGAGCCAGAATTCTGGCAAAGTTGTTGGAGATCAAATACTTCACTCAATAAAACGTACATTTTATAACTTTTATACTGCGTGTGTAGGTTTGTGACTGATATTCTGTTTATTACCGGTCAATAAAGAACCATACAATATGTTGAGACTTGAGATTTATAACTGCTAAAAGGAATAGCCATGAGCACCTGCCAATCTTGGTGAGCCAGAACTCAAGAAAGAACAAGCTAACGTGGCCTTTATGTCTCTCCGACAGTGGGAGGAGGTGAGCGGTTACGACGAAAACATGAACACCATTCGGACCTACCAGGTGTGCAACGTTTTTGACAACAACCAGAACAACTGGGTACGCACAAAGTACATCCGGCGGCGTGGCGCACAGAGGATTCACGTGGAAATGAAGTTCTCGGTGAGGGACTGCAGCAGCATCCCCAACGTTCCCGGCTCCTGCAAAGAGACGTTCAACCTCTATTACTATGAGTCGGATGCTGACACGGCCACCAGGACCTCGCCGGCCTGGATGGAGAACCCCTGGATCAAGGTGGACACCATAGCGGCCGACGAGAGCTTTTCCCAGGTGGACCTCGGCGGCAGGGTGATGAAGATCAACACCGAGGTCCGCAGCTTCGGCCCCGTCTCGAGAAACGGCTTCTACCTGGCCTTCCAGGACTACGGCGGCTGCATGTCTCTCATAGCCGTCCGCGTCTTCTACCGGAAGTGCGCTCGCATCATCACCAACGGGGCACTGTTTCAAGAGACTCTGTCCGGGGCGGAGAGCACGTCGCTGGTGGCGGCGCGGGGGGTTTGCATTCCCAACGCAGAGGAAGTGGACGTGCCCATTAAGCTGTATTGCAACGGTGACGGAGAATGGATGGTACCCATCGGACGTTGCATGTGCAAGGCTGGCAATGAGGCATCACAGAACGGGACCATATGTCGAGGTAGGCATTTCTCTCCTCTGTCTTCAAGTTTACTCTCTAGCAGTTTTAGAGTTGGGTGGATACATCTTAATCGCATTGCTCTATGCTCATTTTACATATGAAGCCTTTTGTTCTGTAATCTGTGTTCATTTCATCCTCACGAGGGTCACGGGCGTGCTGGAGCAAATCCCAGCTGTCTTCGGACATTAGGCAGGGTACACCGTGAAGGAGTTCCCAGCCAATCGCAGGGCACACATTCACACTCACAATCAGATCAAAGCACAATTTAGAGTGTTTCATTAACCTGCCATGCATGTTTTTGGAATATGGGAGGAAAACCAGAGTACCCGCAGAAAAACCACACATGCACGGGGAGAACATACAAACTCCACACAGGAAGGCCACGGTCTAGAATTGAACCCTGCACCTCTGCACTGTGAGGCAGACGTGCTAACCAGTCGCCCTCCGTGCTGCCATGTCAAAACTATTATCGATTAAATTGATAATCAATTAGTGGTAAAAAGTGATGGGATGTCAAAAGGAGTGGAGCTAGATTGACACTTCAATCTGTTGATTAATTTTCAGAGAATGGTCACTTCCGTGGCAGTAGGAAGGCAATGAGAAGATTTACCGTATGCCAAGGAAGTAAACCTAAATGTGGATGTCCTGTCCGTTGTTGTCCTTTTGTGTTATTGTCTCGTGATATTTACGTCTTTGATGGCAGTATCCCCACATACTACCCCCACACGCCGCCCGCTGCAAACAAAAGCCAGATCTGGGTTTTATCCTTCCAAACTATATAGACAAGTGAACAGAATTGAACCAAACTACCAGTGCAAAAAAAGAAAAAAAAATCCTTTGTATGCCAAATCTTTCAAGCATTTGTACTAACCCACATAAATGGTGCATTCAACATCTCCCGACTTGACTAGAAATAGGGTCTGTACTCATCTCCCTCCATCACCGCTGACAAAGATGGCACTTTTTCAAATGGCCTTCATTTTACTTTCCCGACTGCAAGCCCTCTCGCGAGCCCATTGATTGAATGACTCAAAACGTCGATGTAACCACTGCGCAAGACAAGAGTGCCCTATTCTATCCACGCCGAGGCGGGTGGTGGCGACTGTTTAACGCACCGTGAGGCATCGGTGGCTGGAAACAGCATGACGGCATGTCACCCGCATGCATCCCGCCCATCTCGACAAACCACCCACCTGCGCTCGTGATGACCGTTTTCCTGCCCTGTAATTACAACACATCCCCCAACGTGTTTGTGTGCGTATTTATGTGTGTGTAGCGACTGGGAGGGGAAATGTGATGGGTGCAGCCGCACATAGAAACACAAGTTTGGAAAGAAAAAGCAAACAAGACCTTTTAAATCATGTGAACATGTCAGCACTACTTAAATGGTACTTTTGGATTTTTCAGTACGGAATGTCGGATATGGTTTCGAGTTAGGTAAAGGACACGAAGTGCTTTGCGCTCAAGAAAGACTAAACAAATACAGTTCAGCACAGCCTCTTTCTAGTGGTCAATGTGGCTCGCGAGATGCTTTTGACATTATTTGGCATGATTATGACAGTTTTCAAACTCTTGATGTTCTACTTGACTAAAATTAAAAGAATTAACCAACTACATGTCATTAACACTTAAATATTTGATTTAAAATGTCCACAAATCTCTTCGTGGTCACGCCCCAAAAAAAAACAAAAAAACAATAAAAAAACAATAACTTTGATATTTTACACTGTCTTCCCTTACTGTATGAAACATGAGCTGAACCGCGACCATGATTTCAAGATTTTACCATAACACCCGTAACAAATACTTGGCTGACACACAATTTAGTGTCGTCGTTGATTTATAGCAGTAGATCCACCAAACTGTGTAATCATCCCGACTGCTATGCTAACAGGGACAGGATTTTCAAGGAGTGCAGGCCAACACTGGGCACACATGAGTATACTCAATCTGCTCGACCGCAATGAGTCGGCATCCCAGCGTAATTACGTCGGTCCGCTTGTTTTTGTGACCTCCGTGTAAGTCACTCCACGTTGCGGATTCCAACGTCTCCGGGGTTGCATTTTGTCACGCTGCTCTTTTGGTGCTAAATTGGATTATACAAGTAATTGTTTTCTGCTCAGCAGAGACAACACGATCCAATTTCATATCCTCGCAATGCTGAACATGCTCAATCAGCAGAGTCCACACTCAACTGGGTTACACACATAATGATTTTCAAAATGTGTGGGACTGCTCACATGACATGGAAATAAGCATGTGCTTACTGTTCTGTAGTGTATTGTGTACTGGAGATGACCAGCACAGCACACTACATACTTTACATCTGTTGTAGTCACACCACTACTGGAAAAGTAAAAAAAAGAAGAACGAGAAGAATAAATCAGGTTCTTAATTGGGTATCATTCTGTTTCATGCCACCACACGCCTCAGGATTTTCCATCGTAAATATTAATCATTGAGTTGAACATTTTTTTGCAGACACACACGGGATAATTGCTCAGGATAGTTTTTTTTCTTTTTTTAGAGACATTTGGTACTCAGAATTTAATTGCAAGGAGAAATCCGACTACATTTAGGCCTGTTGTTTGGTATATGGGTGCATAATACTTAAACCTTGGTTAACAAGAAATTCTATGAATTATTTATATTTGATGTATACCCTGCAGTCTGTGATTGTTGAAACGTGCAACCCGAGTGCAAAGTCAAAAACCCGGGATTCGGTGCCTAACCCTCTTTGTGCTGAAAGTAGAAGGTGGCTCTGGAGTGAAGTTCTACTCCTGTCCTATCGCACTCCTACACAAAAAAAACAAATCCTGTCCCGTCCCAGTCCAAGACTACATTAAAAAAAAATCCTGTACCCTCAAACTCCAAGTGAAAAGATTCCCATTCCCGTCCTGCTCACGGTTAGAATGAGCTCCACTCTCATAACACTCCCATTTTGAAGGTCAGCCATATTAAAAATGGCTGCGTATCTGTCTGAGGATTTTTTTTTCCTACTGTAAAATTGCGCTTTCGTCGGCTCCTGTGAAGTTTTTATCCTGTACCATTCCAATTCCATGATTAAAGGTGAAGTTGACTTCCATCCTGTGGGTCCCGAAAAAATGTCACCCTGTAGTTGAAAGCAACTGTTCTAGTCCGATTTGATGTCCCAGAATTTACGATCATCATTATTGAACAGCTTTAACATTTATAGGCCCTGATCGTTTTCCGAGCAGATCAACTCAACTCAATAGAAATAGTATAGTATAGTATAGTGTAGATCAGGGAGGACAAATCTCTGTTATCACACCCCAACACTATGGATAATCTTTTAGACATCCAATAATTGAGTCTTTTGCAGCGTCTTTTTGGGCAGCCGTGGCTGAGGAGGTCAAGCGGCTCGTCGAGTAACCAAAGGGTAGGCTGTTCGAATCATGTGTTGTTGTATCCTTGGGCAAGACACTTTATCTGCCTTGCCTTCAGTGTCACCCACACTGGTGGTGATTGGAGGGGCCTTACTGGCAGCAACCCTTCCGTCAGCCTGTCCTTGGGCAGCTCTGGATACAGAACGCAGTTTACCACGACCAGAATGTGAATGTATGACTGCATGAATAATGTATCATAATGTGAAGCTTCTCTGAGTGTCAAAACAAAGCACCATATAAAATAGACGCATGAGTATTATCATTTTGCTAAGATGCTCAAATTTGCGTACCTTGCATAAATTGATAGCAGGAAGCCACAATCAAAATATGCGATCTCCGACACCCTGCTGAATGTGATCAGGAAGGGGGAGTGCGGCACAACTTAAACCTGATTTCCATTTTATGTATGCACTGTATGCTATGGGTTTATTAGAAAACCTATTTATTTTTTCAGTATACTGTATTAACATTTTTTTTAATGTCACATATACAAAATGGCTCCTGACAAGTCAAACATTATTCTGTAAGTCCTGGGATGCTGTTCACTCTTTTCTCTTGATCAGAATGGGCAGCAGGGGGCACTTACTTTTGGCCTGACTTTTATAATAATAATAATAATAATAATAATAATAATAATAATAATACATTTCATTTGCAAGCGCCTTTCACAACACTCAAGGACACTTTACACCAAGAGCAAATAATAAAACCACAGATAAAATTATAAACAAAGAATAGAAAGATTTAAGGTGGATATGCAAGTCTGAATAGGTGGGTTTTGAGCTGGGTTTTGAATGTGGAAAGAGAGTCAATATTACGAATGTTGGGTGGAAGTGAGTTCCAGAGTTTGGGGGCAGAGCGGCTGAAGGCTCTGCACCCCATTGTACTTTTAGTGCGTGTGTGTGTGTGTGTGTGTGTGTGTGTGTGTGTGTGTGTGTGTGTGTGTTTGTGTGTGTGTGTGTGTGTGTGTGTGTGTGTGTGTGTGTGTGTGTGTGTGTGTGTGTGTGTGTGTGTGTGTGCGTGCACTCCGCTTAAGCAAACCGACACTACTTAAGACAAATATCCCTTACTCCAACTTACTTAGGTCATCCTGCCGTCGCCCTGTCTTGGTACTCACACAACGCCCCATTTGATTAAAGCTTGATGAGGAAAAATGCATTATCTGCGAGTGCAGCAGGCCTGAGAAGAGATGAGTAGAGGAGAGCCTTTATATAAAAATCATGAGCTGTGCTTCTGCCAGGGTCGAGCTCAAACTCTACGTGTTCCCTGTTTTTTCTTGTGTTCGCCGCACTCCCCCGTCTTCCCCGACAACCCGAAAGCCGATCTTGCCGCTTCAAACTGCGGTCGGCCACCGCCTCTTCAACCGCAGCGTTCTGTGTAATGAATTGATCCGTGCGAGATGTACCGTCGCCTGCTGAATATTGCGGCATAATGAATTGATTTGAGAGAGGTGCCCGCACGGGGCTCCGGAGAGATCCTCTTTCATAGCCGGATTATGGACCCGCAGCGACCGCACAAAGCGGCCCAGATGAAAGTGACTATTTGTACTGTAATATTTATAACCCCAACAGCCGGCGCTTTGTCCTGACATTC